GAGTCGTGACTAGAGGTTCTTTCATGTGACTTTTTCTGTTGGGAGTTCGTCAATATGTGGGGCAGTTGTGCCACCTTATAGGTGCTTGTTTGTGATGTTGTATCCACTATTTGACTACCTGTGCAGCCGTTTCTAACTTGCTAGTTGCATTTGTCGGAAATATTTTGGTCTTTAGTTGTTGTGTTCGTGGCTGAATCAGAGGTTTGTCTCATTCATTTGATAACCAAGCTCTTTTCTTTCGGCCAAGAGCTTCAACAATTACAAGTGTTGGCCAACTTGCATAATTGATTCGGTTGACAAGTGGGTCTTGCGATGTAAGATCTCAAAGGTATGTTTGTAACAAGCTTAAAACTTAATAAGCTTTAGTTTGACTGCGAGCATCAGAATCTAAAAATAAATATCTATAATTTATTATAGAATGTCTAAAGTTACCTCTTAGCATTAGTTTGTTATCTTAGAGTATCTTATCAAATCGTCCTCGTCGGCATCTTGCCTTTGCAGCAAGCAGAAAGAAAGAGAGGAGGGAAGAGAGAATAGAGAAATGTGGGGTTAAAGTGGGAAAAAAAGATAGGAAGGAGGAAACATATAGTATGGAGAGGGCTAGTAGGAGTGGCAGGAAGATGGGATCCAGATACATATCTCATGCTTTAGAATAGACTGTTATCCTAGGATTCCCATATTTCTTAGCAATTATCGTGATTTGTTTTCCATACATAAGTAGAATTACCAGTCTATTAGTTAGTAAATATAAGGGTTGGAGTGTTAGTCTTTTGAATAAAATGTTGTATTAAGCCTTAATCATAATGTTTATAGACCTTTTAACAAACATGTATGAAACACAGGAATGGGATCTGACCATCATTTAATATGACCATAAATTAGCAGCACCCATCATAAAACTCCATAATAAATGTGGATGGGTTGAAACATCAAAAAATAAATGGCATTGCATTGCTGTGGCCTACGGCTAATAATATAGAATTTGGATGAAAACGAGCAGATGAACAATTGTAAACAAGGAAATCCATATAGATAATGATTTTCCAAAAGAATACGTATAGCACCTAACACCATGAGACATTCAAAGCAAAATTCACATCGAATAAAGCTGGATTATACCTGGCTTGGGATCTGTCTTTTATGAAAAACTGATGATGGTGGAAAATCCGCACTATAGGAAGGCAGCGAATGAACATAGATTGAATAAAGCCTCTCATTCCCTTTAAAGAACTTCTCCCAGAGTGGTGCCATTGGCAACGGTCCCTTGGTCAAGAACATGAAGGCAATCTTGGGAGTTCTTTTAAAGGGATAACTCTTGATCCTCGGAACAGAAGTAGCTCGCCAGAAGAGCTCAGTGTCGTTCATGGAATGCAGCAAACTGGATGGAGGCCTAATCCAACTTTCTATGGTCACTGGCTGCTCAAAGCAAGGTCTAATGGTAGACTGTATCAAAGCCACATTATGAATACCAAAATGCCTAATCATGTACATGCTAAGAAACGAAGCACCCAGACCAATAACCAAAAATACCAAGAAGAACTTCAGAAGCCTCAAAGGGAAGGGCCTAGAGGGAGTAGTTCTCAATGCAGCAGGGTCCTTCCCTTCTTCCATTCTAGACTGCATGGTTTTTCCTCAGCTATCTACCAATCAAACCAAGGATCACAGTACTCTTGTTCCTTCACACATAATCAAATCTCACAAATACCTCATACGCATCAAAAGCCTCACTTTTCAACGCAAAACCAAATCAACACAAACGTGCCATAACATTCAAATTTCTACCACATGGGGCATCCTTAGTTCTTTATTGGGAGAACCAACGAGAAGCCATATCAAATAACAGATCAAAACCCCAACCAAGCACGAGATCACATCAAACAACGAAACAAAATCAGCGTCCAACAAAACCAACAATGCTCACACCGTTCAAATACCAGAAAGACCCGACTTACGAACAAATCAAAAGCTTGTTGCCCCGTTTTCTCGGAAAGGGTGGAAACGGCATTGGAGGGCGGATTGGTGAGGGAAGAAAAGCAAGAAAAAATAGGCAGAAAAGCGTGAGAGGCGCATTACCATGATGCCATGTTAAAAAGCCAGTTACATACACGGCTCAATCAATGGAAAAGAATAACGTTTGGTGGATCCCTTCATGCTTTTCTCCCTCGCTCTTGAATAACGCCAAATTTCAATGGAAGTGGGAATTATGCTATCTCTGCACTTTCATTCATCACTGTGCAGAAAAACGTGCTAAGTGTTGTTTCTAATTTTCTTTTTCTGTTTTAGGCTTTGAATAGAGCTTAAGTTAAAGGTTGAAACGGGTAATCCTAGATAGGAGAGAGAAAAATAAAAAATAAAATAAAACAAAATAAACGGCACCATGATTATCTTAAAACCTATTATTACTAACCTAAGATCAGTTTCATAGATTTTTGTCTGTTGCTTTTTGAGCTTAAGTTGTTGGTGTCGTTTTGGGTTTGGTTGGAATCGGCCCACACCATTCATGTTGGTTTCTAGTTTCAATATTCATATACATTTAATTTTTCATTCAATTCGTCTACAACTATGATCCTTCATTAAAAGCTACTTAATCTAGTTTTTATACACACAATCTCCTATGATTTTAGCATCTTCAATTTAAACTATACTATTAAAAGTATAATCCTTAAAAAAATGTGAAATACATAGTGTTATCAAAAATGAGTTCAAATTCGTGAATCAACATCACTTATCATTAGTTCGAGTTGAGTTAGATTGAAAAAAAATTGAATTTTGATATGGACAAATTTTGAATCCGACCTACTTAGAACTCGGTTTACTGGATTAAATCCATGGTGAGTCGGGTTGACTCACTAACACACCTAATTTTATTTTTCGTATTTGTTTTTGAATTATATTTAGAGTTTAAAATGATTTTGGATTATAATATATATATTTTATTTTGAATTGGTTTTGAAATTTAATACAAAAATTTATTTAGATTTGAATTAAAAAAAAATTCAACCGAAAAAAAAAACATTGTCATTAAGTGAATCATTAAGTCAAACTGTTTAACCCATCAACCCATGCCTACTAACCCATGGTGAGCCGGACTAGAGTATAATTTTTTTCAGCTCATTAATAAGTAAGTCGGGTTGGATTGACTCAGTAAATAATAAACTCATGATTAGTCGTATCGAATTAGGTCAGGTGCTCATATTTTGACGACACTAAATGCATGTATAAAAATTATAGTTTAACAAAAACTTCAAAATTACATAAGAATAAAAATTAAATAATGAATTAGATATCAATATAAGAATTTATTTGATACCTTTCCTTTTTTTTATTTTTCTTCTTTTTATACCATATTACCAAATATTAGAAATTAAGAGCAAATACTTTTTAATGCAACGTTGAGTTATAATCTTGAAAAAAAAAAATATAACTTTTCTTGTAGCATTTTACCATCTATGATAATAATAGGTGTTGGTTATGTCTATGTTGTTAGAATTTTCTACAAGCACATGTTGGTTGAAAATTCCCCATCATGCCCCATATTGTACTTGCAATGTGATTTTCTTTGATTTCACTAATTGGTCACCTGAGTCCAAGTTCTTTGGGATGGGGCAGTTTCTAGAGAAAGTAAAATTGTTGTAGGGTGAGTGTAGGGTTTTCCTTTTATTGTTGTTGATTTTTGTTTCTTTCTGAAAAAATATTTCCCAATCAAAGTGAGGCATGGTAGAATAATTGGTGGACCACCAAACTTTTCCAGTCCATTAAGAATACATTCACCCCATTATTCTCTTTCTTTCCTTCAAAGTTTTGATGGTGATGATGCCAACGTTTTACTAAAGATTCTTGGTAAAAATGGCCACCAAGTTATTCCTTTGCTTCTTTGTTAATTAATGCTTCAAATATGCTCTTTCTTGAAATATGCCTAAGAGTCTCAAGAGTTCTTGAACAATGAAATTATACTATGTTTCACTTTTTTTTGCAAACAATTGATGAATTTTTAAAAATAAATAATTTTTTTGCTCCTATAAATATTATAATTCGATTTGATCCTTATAAAAAAATTCTTCATATTTTATCCTTCACAATTTAAACCTAATTATTATTTTTTCTTTTTTTATTATTTATCATCATCCAACCCTAAAAATCACTATGCTAACTACAAAACTACGTTATTTAAAATTAACTCAATACAAAACTACCTTATTTAATATTAACACAAGTAATATAATACAAAAACAACTAAGAAGATAATAGTGTAAGATAACAATTTTTTCACCCAATTTATTGAAAAAAAAATTAAATAGTTGAAAGTCAATCGAGAATTATAAATTTTATAGTGCTCAATAAAAAAACAAAAATTAGCAAGCAAAAGAACTCTCAAATTTATCATAGATTTAAAATTTGATTAAACATATAAAAAATAACTTTTTCAGAAATGAAAATTAAATAACTTTTTAACAAGAACTAAAATCAAAGTTTGGTGACGGTAAACATATTTATTTATTTTTCAATATGAAATATTCTTAATTTGACAATCATCTTCCTTTATTGGTAAATTTAATTTAATTTAAGAAATATTAAAAGACAAAAAGGTGCTTTACTTGTTTATTTTATATACAAAAATGATAAATTTAAAGTAAACAAATTATTTAAACTGATAATCTCAAAATAAAGATAAAGCTAAACATATAAACATTTAGAAATCGGACGCATAAATTTGAATCAACTTTAATATATATATATATATATATATATATATTGATAGTTCATATATAAATTCAATAAGATACTAATAAGCATTTTAAATTTTGGAAAATTTTGCTAGTTTTTAACTCAAACTATTTAACAATTTTACGTATTATAATTTTATTATATTTATTCTATATTTGTTAGATCTAGATGTTTTATGGGTCTAAGTTTAAGAACTAACATTTCTCTTTACATTTCCTGAATGAATGTTTGAAAGATATGGGATAGTGAGAATCAAATTTCAAAAAGAAAACATATACAGTTAAGATATTGTGAATAATTTGAATAACTTGTTTGTACAAGGCCGAAAGAGCTGCTAATCTCTGCATTTCTTCAAGTGATTGGTACAAATTTTTTTTTTCTCTGTTTTCATGAATTTACAATGCTGCTTCTGCTTGAGCTTCCACCCATGCAATATTATTATCAGACAAAAATGGTTATAGGTACATACAGTGTTAGAGTGTCAAACTAGAAATATCATGAATAAACAGACATGTCATGTCACGAGACAGACTATGTTACTAGTTACAAATGTTTCCTTTCTTCTTGTATTGATCTGAATATCCTTGCAGCGGATTCACTAGCTGATTTTGGATTATGAGGCATGGCTTTGATTACTCTTGGCTGCAGTTCAACCTGAGTGTGCCTATCTTCTGATTGCCAAAATGTCGGAGCCAAAGGAAACAAAGGAAGCACTTCCCCAGCATTCGTCCTCTTGGAAGGACTGCTAGCTGTGCTTCTATGTGGTTCTTTATCTTTTGGTGATTGGTGAATTGAAATGTTTCTTGACATCACTTGGCTTGTGGGGCTGGATATGTTAGATGAGCTTTGGTATAGTATGGCAGAATTGACTTCTCCACATGAGTTGTGGTTTTCAGGACCATTGGATTGCCCCATTTGCTCAACAGCTGAAGCTGACATAGAAGATGGATTGTGGATGAATGGTGGTGGTAAGAACTGGGGCAAAGATGAACCAGAAAGGATTCCAAACTTTTGGTGAGAACTTGGAGCAAGAGCTGCTTCTGAAGAAGCGTCTTTGCTTAAAGGATTGAAGCTAACCGAGCCACAAGTGCCGTATATGGGTGCCATGAAGCCTGCATTTGGAGGGCATGACCCTATGACTGGTTTGTATACTAGGCCTTCGGATGGTGACATGACAGGAACTAGCCACTGGTTTCCTGGTGGAGGGTAGACATAGCTTGGGGACTGTTTGGAATTTGTATCCGAGGAGGCTATTGGAAGGTTTGCTAAATGATGGCCGTAGTTTGGCAGCTGATTAGCATGGCCTTTGGTTATGTTGTTGACACAAGGAATGGGAATCTTCTCAACTGCACTGTTTGTAGCATGCTCAGCAGTAGGGGCCTTCACGGATTTACTGTCAAGTTTAGCAACTGAGGATGGTTTTTCACCAACAAAATCAGATTGAAATTTCTTGGTTGTGGATGTTTTTGGTGGTGGCTTGTTAAGTAAAAGGTTATCTGCAAGCAATATGTGGGGTGAGCCTGCAATTAATCTTTGCACCTGTTCCAAGAAATGTGTAGTTACTTCTCACGTTATGATGAGTGAAGACGAAGTTAAGAGTGTCTAGTTTGGCAATTACCTTTATCAGTCTATGCAATTCAAACACTTGCATGACAAAGATTTTCTGTTGGCTGAAAATAGCAATGTCAGTATCAGTTCAAAGGATGGAACACAATCATGTTTAAAAGAAAAATGGATGAAAAATGAACACATCAAGAACTAGATCACTATATTCAATCTGCATTGAAATTTGAGCATTGCAAGGCTGTAAGTTTGTCAGAGACTTATAAAGATTTTCAGCAAACAATAACAAAATCAGCAAAGTTCAGAAATAGTTTAACAGAAAGAGAGCAAGGCCAAATCATAAACACATGTTACTAGACAGGTAAACTTACTTGACGATAGTTCTTCTGGCTTTCCAAAATTGTTGTTCACCTATAGCTCCTACAACATTGTCAGGGGAAATGTGCATAACCGATGTCTCCTCATCTTCGTTCCCAGCTCCCTTGTCAAGGAAGAACCTTCTACCAATCTCTAACTCTCCAGAACATCTGTGCACATCGCTGGCAGCTGGCTTCTCAATGTGATGGTCCCTTGAGTTGAATTTGTCCCCAAAAGCTGCATGTTCTTCATGTGTATGGACAATGCTACCTTGCAACGTTTTCAAGCTATCTACTGAAATATTTCTAATTTCATCCTTCAAAGATCTATGTTCTTTATTCATTGATTTAGAATCCCTACCTTGCACCAATGAGATTAATGATGCATCTGTCATGTCACCGAAACCATCTAACGAGAGCACTTCCTCTGGCTTCTGACCATTTTGACTCACTTTTGTAAGCTCCTCCATCTGGATCTTCCCATATTGTGCTGACTTCAGGTCTACCACACCAGGTGAATTCACCTTCTTTCTAAATGAATTCAGATTTTTAAGAGAACAGCTCAAATTACAACCGTCTTCATCTTTATTATTTTGGATGATGCTACAGCATGAGCTTTTTCCATGTGCAGAACCAGCAGTTATAAAAACATCTTCACCATCAAGTGCTTTCAGAGAATTCTTACTATTGATGAAATTGTCTTGCTGAAATGAATTGTGTTTACTAGTAAATGACAATGAGCATAAGAAGTTTAAATTTGGTAACTTGTAGGCTTCTTCGTTTCTCTCACTCACGACTCACCGTGTATTTGGTTAAGTTACTCCTTCTAAAATTGAAAGCTTGACTCTTCTCAGCCAGAATAGAAGGTGCATTGGAGTTGAACTGGATGCTTTGATTACTACCGATCTGCAGCACAGCAAAAACAAAACAATTAAAAAAGGTTGCAAAGGATGAACAGAAAAACTTATTAGTATAATCGGGTTCTGATGCCATGCTAAAAAGTGGATTTTAAGCCTAACTCAACCCCACAAAACAAGCTAAGTGAGGTTTACACCCACTTATATACTCTAAATTGGACTTATCTCTAGTTAATGTAGGATTTCCAACAATATTGAATCAAATTTCTCACAACGCCTCTAGTATTTGATGGAACAAACTACGATCTTTAGGCTATAAAAAAGGAGGCTTGTCTAGAGATTTTGGATCTTAGGGAAGTTGTTGAAGAGGATTATGAAGTACTTCCACTGCCAAACAACCGGAAAGCCGAGAAGAGTTTACAACCTCCAAGATAAAGAGTGTTGGAAATGTTCCTAGGATGATGTCAAAATAACTATGATTTTGATTTTTAATAAGTGAATTATTAAATTCATAAGAATCTTGATTTTAGTTGTTGGTGGATTACTTAATTTCAGATTCTAATATTCAGTCACCATTAGCAACAGCTAAAATCATGGAGCAAAATTTTGTATTTAGTTATTTGAGCGTACTTAGATACAAGTTAAACTCAACAAAATTTGTAAGCTTCTTAATTCAAAATGTTGTATATTATTTCCTAACCCAAAAACCAATTGTACTCCATGCTAGACAGAAAGCATAACTACTTGAGAATCAAAAAGATGATACTGCAACTTCCCTTGCTTCCATAAGAAAAAAGAGTGATATTCATAATTCAAAGATCCAAGACAAAATTTAAGGGGGCAGAAACAGATAGGTATTTGAAAATAAGAGAAAGAAGTTGCTAAAAGAAAAGAATACTTCTGTATCATTGAAGAATACTTCTGTAATCTGTTTATCACTATTACTTAAACTGTGTTTGAAACTTCCAAGTTTGGTGAAAAATGTCTAGCACTCTCATGAATCCACGCAACTTAATACCTTTATTCAAGCTTAACACATCAATCAAAAGAGAAAAACAGAGTTCGGTTCCAATTATCTGTGATGGTACAGGAAATTATCAAAGGCAAGAATTTGAAGAACTTGACTTGACTCACGTGGCTTGAAGATGTATGAGCTGTGTAGTTTCTGAGCGGGAGTGGAAACAAGGATGCTGATGCTGGTGCAAAACTTTGAGAAGGGATGCTGAATTGTTCATAGAGTGCCATCTTATTCCTTGGGGGTGCTTTTGGTCCTCCTTTCTCAGCATCCTTAACATGCAATCTTGGAAACATTGGACTAATCTCCTTGCTCTCTTCAATTCCCCCTCTCATCCTATTCATGCTTCTACACACTATCCACATGCAACAATTTTACATCTCTGCCAATTTCACAAAACATACTTTTCAATCCTCTCATACAAAAAAGTACGTGTTTCTCAGTTGCATAAACCACTTCAGAAGTATCAGAAACTCAAATCCACACAACAGAAACAAGTTCTGTCGGCGAATTTAACCAGCAGAAACAATTCCAACCATGTCAGAACAAATCAATCCATCCACAAGCAATTCATACTAAATCAAAACAAAAAGCAAAAAAATAAATTAACCAGCTCCAAAGCAACAGTTTTCTTTATCCCATCCCACATTATCGACAAGGACGAGGAAAACATCCCAAAACAGAGCAAAAATTAGAAAGAAAAAAAACACAAATCCACATGTACCCAGTTGACAAAAACTAAACTTTTTAGCTGAAAACCAAACGACAAACACTTACAAAAGCACAAGAACCCTAATGAAGGTCAGCTAAGACGTAAACAATAAGAAAATCAAAGGAAAGATCTTGCAAGCACAGAAGAGAGAAATATATATTTTTAAACAGAGAAAAAGGAATATCTGAAACAGATAGATAGACGGATAGATTGAGCTGCAAAACAAGGCCACCATGAAACCACGAGGGATTGTGCAATAAAAGTAAAAGAAGTGAGAGGAGATTAAACTTGGAAGGTAACAACATGGGGTAGTTAAAGGGTACAGAGAGAGGCTATTGTAATGTGAAAGAATGTACCGAATATTGTTGGAAGAGAAAGTAGTGTTCCGGAATGAGTACGAAGAAGAAGAAGCAGCATGCAAGAGCATTGTTAGTGACCCTACCATGTTGTTGAATTGATGAGGAAGAGGAGGCAAAGAGTATAAGAGGGAGAGTAACATGGCATAATGAATGTGGATGATTGGAGACAGAGGCAGTGACCGAGTCTCTGTTTCTTATTTTCCTTTGCACGCACTTACTTTCGGGTAAGAGACTGCATGGTTACCACACATTATGTTTCCCCAATCTCAAGAAAAAAATCTGTTAAAAATCGTGTCTTTCTATTTTTGCATTTTTTAATGTTTTATGTCTCTTCAACTTTCTTTCAACAATAAAGATTATGATGTTTGATTTTTCTTTTTAAACTTTTCTCCTTTTTTACTAACACGTGATTAGTTTGTCTACTTTCGATTTTACTTAGGTTACGTGGCACACCCTCATGATGCTAAATATTTATCATTTTAGACACGTTTTACAAATTAACTTCTGTACAAAATAATGTAAAAACTCGTTTAACTTTTTTTTTTGTTTTGTATTTTCCTCTCATAAAATATATTTGTACAAAAATGTGTTCACATTGCCAGTCAAGTAATATTAGTTTTCAATTTTTTTATATATGAAAAAAAAAATATATGCTTACAGAAAGTTATCACACTGATCAATTATTAACGAAAATTAATTATCAATTAATATTTTACTGAAGTTTCTTACAGAAAAGGTACACTCCTTTTGTATAATTTTCATTTAGGTTAATCAAAATGAAAATTTTCAAATATAATATTATTATGCTTTTTTATCTGTATTATTTTTCTTACTGAAATATGCATTTTTATCATGATAATTTTTCTCTTCATGAGTGATAATTTATTTCAAAATAAAACATAGGTTATATTCGGAGAATAATATTATTGTTATGCACGTGACTTTTGTAGCAAGATTACATTATTTTTTGTTATTCTTAGAAATTACATTTCTCTGGTGAAAAAAAAACATGTGAACAATACTTCAATTAATTTTATTATTATCTTTCCATTTTCATTACAATTTTTTGAGCCTCAAATTTTCTCATTCTCCCTGATTTTTCACAGTTAGAATTAATATTATACTTTAATAGTTTTATAATGATAAAGAAAGCAAATACAATTATGTAGTTTGGAATTGTTTTTTTTTTTTGTAATTTATTTTCAACCAAATAAATGAATAACCTAATTGCCTTTCACATCTATTCTCTTTCTTTTATTCACTGTTTTAAACAGCTTCAAATATCTGTTCATTTTCTCATAACTTTCTTTAAATTTTTTAATTCCTATGCTCTTGTACTTTTTCACATTGTTATTTATCATAATCTTTATTTAAAAGATAGAATAAATATTTTTTTTTGCAGTAGAATTGGGCCGGGAATACGAGCCCAATCAAAACCTGTTGGTCCAATCAAGCCCTAGATTGGACTTTTCAATCGAGTCGGGAACAGTATATTGAAGACTTTTTCTTCGTGCATTTCCATAATTTTGTTGCAAAAGTCAGTTTCTGGACAAGTTTTTAAAATTTTTAGAATATGATTTTTGAAGCAGGATTTACATGGTAGGACTTTTGGACAAAGTTTCTAAAACACATTTTGGAATTAGCTTTCTGAATACAGAATTTTGGAACAAGTTTTTCAAGACTTATATGATATTTTTTTGAATGAGTTTTTTGAACAATTTTTTTAAAACATAAATGATAATTTTCAAATCAAATTTTCTAAAACAAGTTTTCTTTAGAAAGAGTTCTTTATATTTTCTCTTCTTCTCACATAATAACATAATGCAGTGGAGATTGAAAGTATAATAACATCAATACCACTATTGGTGACATTTTGCAATGAAAGAACATATTTGTCCTTTTTTAATATGCTTCCTGCACCCTCAAATTACTAACCCCACCTTACAATAACATTTGCGGGAGAAGAAAAGAGGAAGAACATAGAAAGAGGAAGAGAATGAATGTATTTTTGGGACACTTTGTATAAGGTATTTTTATAATATGTAACTTAAAGTATAATATTTGTATTGTATTGACAGGTACTTATATTCACCAAACTTGTTAGAACCGATGTTGAAATTAAGATGAAATTGTTTGGTATCCATCGTACTCAACTAATCATTAAGACAAGCTAAGCATATTAATAATCAGATCCAATATAATTTAGTTGTGATTAGGCTAAACCTTATCAAAAATCTATGAAAAAAACCTATAAATACAAGTCAAAAATATAGTTTCGTTTGAAAAAACATTAATTTCTTAACCAGAAGTAATTTTTGTGTAGATACAAAACAATAAATTTTTAAAAGATAGAAAATAAATATATTGTATTTTGAAAATAAAACTTTAAACCTGATGCCAATAATTTTTATTTTTTTGTAATTCTTTTAAAAAATATTTTAGCATTATTAAGGGAATAAATTTACTTTGACATTGATCTTATTCAAATTTATGTGAGAGATTGATCCGGTGTAAAATCGAGTCGGCGAACAAAGACACAGCGGAAGACGGTGAAATCAAAAGCAAACCCTAGATTCGAAGGTTTGTTCGGAGGAGATTCTAGGGCTCGAGGTAGGAAGGGATTTAATCGATGGAAAAGGTTGGAACGAAGATTTAATCGGTGTGAATAGATAGAAACCAATCTCAATCGGTGAAAAATAAAGAAAAAGACAAAACAATCAGTCAAAAGGCAGGAGATAAGGAAAACCTATAGGAAGATGATGTTTGAGGCGACGCTCAAGGCAGCGAAGAAGACGTAGTTCGGTGAAGAGCGAACGCAAGATGTGGTTCGATGATGGTGAGGGAGGAGTGTTCTTGGAGGAGTGCGCGGTTTAAAGAAGAAGAGAGGAACGATAACGAGAGGAACGTGAAATTAGAGATAGCGAAAGAGAAATGTGAAAAATTAGAGAGACAGAGAGATATTATAACTGATTTTTAAAACTCCGTTCTAATACATCAAGAAATTTCCAACAAATGTCTATATCTACCTAATAATAGGTTTTGAACTTATTTACAGGTTTGTCACCGCGTTTCATATTATAATTGATATACAAAACTACGTTATTTTAAACTTATTTACATGTGCGTTTCATATTATAATTGATATACAAAACTACGTTATTTTAAACTTATTTACAAGTTTGTCACCATGTCTTACTTTTATTACAATTCTGCCACCGGTCAACCTATTATAATGGATAATTTTTATCCGTCATAATAGGTCGTGATAGAAAGTTATTTTTCCATTAGTGATTTTAGGCCTGAAACTTTTTCAACTTATTTGTTAAATGCATTAAAGAGATTATTTTAAAACTCACTTGAGATTGATTTGTAGACTCACTCAAATTGATAGATATTGACAAATATACTTATGAATTAATATATCTTAGTAATTTTTTAAAACCTTACATTGTTTAATTATATTAATATTAACATTATTTAATTTTCAAATTTATACATGATAAAATACACCTCTATTTTAACTTTATATTCTTATTCACATAATTTAATTATAGTAAGGTTAATAAATATCACAACACATAAATTAGATCAATATGAACTCATAGATTATAAGGTTTTACTAAGATATAAGTTATCTTTTAGAAAATTATTATTTAGTGTGTGCAGTCAAAGTCTTGATTGTACTAATCTCACTTGAAGTCTTTGAAGTCTATGACTTTGACTGTATCAAGGATTATTTAGGATTTAATTAAATTTTAAGTTTATTAAAAGTTTTGATATTTTTAATTAAGTAATTTTGTGTACTGAGTATTTAATTTTTTTTTAAAAAATTGAATTGAGTTTTATTATTTAATTTTTTTATTGATAGATAGTGTGAATGGTATTTTGTCACCTTATTTGATCATCTTTAATATTAAAATATATAAAGTTTTATAATTAATATAAAAGTATATTGTAATTAATATAAAATAAATATTTTTTATTATTTTAGTTGAATTCGATAATAAAACTGTCATATTTTTCATGAGTTTTACGTTGTCGCTTACAATTACTAAAGGAATGTTTGTATTGTATATTGATAAGACTATTTTCGTTATCCAACGTAATTTTAATGAAAATAATAAAAAGATATTAATATTTTATTAATTATAATATTATTTTATATAAAGTATAAAATTTTATATTTATCGACAATAAGATAAATAACATTAAAAAACAAATATTTTCAAATGAAATAGTGATAACGGTAGGTAAATAACAAGGGTGAATAGTAGTTTCCAGAAGTAGTAATAAACAGAGAAAAAAAAAACATGATTGTGTGGGCCTGTCTTGTGCACGTGGGAGTCAACATCATATTATCATCATCTACCTTGGCCAAAGCCAGCTTAGGAAATTCAAGTATAAAACCATATAATATATTTCTAAAAAAGGGTAAGAGAAAAATGTGATTTATTATGAGAAAGTGATAATTGAGTCCCAATTATTAGGTGGTTGTTGACCTAAGGCCATTCAATGTGACTGAATTTTACAAGAAAAAAAAAATTGAAGCCCACAATGTAAAAAAAAAAACTATTGCCGTGAAAACAAATTTTTTGGTTCGGTTTCAATCCAATCTAAGTTTGTTCGTTAATAAGTTTAAAAAATTCAAATTTGATTCAATATATCATAAATTGGTGTGTTAAACTAATTGTGTTTCAGGTGTAAGTTTTCAGATATCACAATCAAACATTCATTCACAATTTGTTTTTAATCATTTAACTATGTTTTAAATATTTTTAGTCAAATTCTTTTATGTTCTTAATGTCTAAATTTCAAATCGTGTGGACCTGTCAAAGACACTTGAACTCAAGTCAACATTTTAATTGATTGGTCGTCACAAGTCTTAAATTCACGATAAATGTAATCACTTACCTCTTTACCTCAAATTTGTTTCATAAGTTTCTATATGAACTTATCATTCCATCTAATTTCGAAGGAACCGAGTAGATCAAGACTAGAAGATAAGATTACTCCCATATTGTAATCAGGACCAATGCCTAATAAGTAAAACTTACCTATAAACTTAATTAGTAATTGTGTTTAATATTCATTAGAAGTTGCGACCTTTTGGTCGTCCCATTCTCTTGATCGACTAATCATACGACCATACAATATAAATTATATATATAAATTGTATGATAAATTTTAACTAAACTTTAAAAATTAATAATTTTTATAATCAATTAAGTAATATTTTACAG